AAGAACCATAATTCACAAATACACAAAGCAGAAACAAACATATTATAAAAACCAGAATACAATATATATTTTTGGCAGCAAACCCACCAGATGAGTTTGGTGCAAACAGGGATAAAAAGTACCCCATGTCCATGTGTGATTAAATATACTGCTGAGTCTTTAATGTTGTGGGCCTGTTTTTCTGCCAGAATCCATCATGGATTCTATCAAATACCAACAGATAAAAAGTCTAAACCCAACTGCCTTTGTAAGGAATCTTATAATGGGCCATGTTTGGATCTTCCATCAAGACAATGATCCAAAGCAAACATCAAAATCTACACAAAATGTGTCACTGGGCACACAATGAAGCTTCTGCCATGGCTGTCTCAGTTCCCCGACCTGAACCCTGTAGAAAATGATTGGGGTGAACTGAAGTGAAGAAGCACCAACATGGAGCTGGTATGCTGGATGTTCTGGAGTGATTCTGGATGAAGGAATGGTCTCTGATCTCTTGTCAAGTGTTCTCCAAACTCATCAGGTATTACAGGAGAAAACTCAGAGCTGCTATCTTAGGAAAAGGATGTTGTGATAATTGGGTGCCAATAACCATGGCCAACGTGAACTAGAGAAGAACTTTTATTTCATAATGTGAGTTTCCCCCACTTTCCATTGTTTTACTTCAATGAAAGGTTAGAGTTTTGTACATTTTTTGAATGAAAGATCAAAAGGATAAACAATGCAGATTTATTTTCACAGCCACCTTTGTTCATGTTTACCAAGATCACTGTATTCAGAATGTAAAAGCTCAGCAGGTATTATATGTCTCTGTGTGTGCTGCTTTGCGTGTATATTCATTTTTGTCTAATCTGTTGCCATCTGTTGAATTTGTTCAATAATAAATTCTTTAATCCCGTCATGTTGGTTTGGGCTTTTTGGTTTATTATAATTAGCATAATTACCTAATTATTTGTATTTGTGAAAGGCGAATCTAATACTAACTACTAATTTTATGATTCAAAAGAACTAGACACATGATGGCAATGCAAAAGAGTTTATTTGTAGAAAATAAGCAATTCTTGGAATGTATCGGTAATAGTTTTACTTATTGGCCATAAATGTCTCAAGGAGCTTAAAAAGCCTCTCTTCTCTAGCAGCAGCTTCTCTTTCTCTCCTTTCCTCTCTTTCTCTGTAGTCCCTTTCCTGCCTTTCTTCTCTAGCCAGCATGTCTTTCTCCCACCGTTCCTGTCTCGCAAACAATTCTCGTTCCCTCCTCTCCTCCCTCTCCAGCGTCTCTCTCTCTCTCACTACTTCTCTCTCTGCAGCCCTTCGATCTCTTTCAGCATCCCTCTCTGCAGCCCGTCTGTCTCGCTCTTCTTCTCTTGCTGCAGCTCGTCTGTCTCTCTCGTCCTCTCTCTCTGAAGCTTGCCTCTCTCGTTCCTCCTGTCTCCTTTCCATTCCCTGCACAGCTGTCAGCCAGTCCTCTTCCTTTCTCTGCTTGAGGGGTGGAGCATCCTGAGCAGATGAGGACACTTGAACAGGCATGATGAAATGGTTGAGGGGGGTCTCGCTACTCAGTGCTCCATCCATGATTGTATACCACTTCCAGGTTGCAATTGATGCGTCTCCCCCAACCATACTGAGGCTTTTGAGGTCCTGCAGTAAATTATCAAAGACAAAATAATTATAGGTCAATAACAGTGTTGTGAATTAAAAAAAATAAAATTAAAACCTACACTGAACAAAATTATGAATCGGCATCTTGATATGTCACACCTGTGAGGTGGATGGATTATCTCGGCAAAGGAGAAGTGCTCACTAACACAGATTTAGAAAGATTTGTGAACAATATTTGAGAGAAATAGGCCTTTTGTGTACATAGAAAAAGTCTTAGATCTTTGAGTTCAGATCATGAAAAATGGGGGCAAAAACAAGTGTTGCGTTTATAATTTTGTTCAGTGTAGTTTAAATTGTCTACCAAGTTCTTAGAAATGTACTCTTTATATTCATGTTTGTTTCACATGGTTTTGAAAAACTTGCTACTTGTCAAGATAATATTGACGCCAAATATTTGTTTGAAGAAAAAGAATGTTCAGCAGAAGAAAAAAAAAATAGGTAAATGGAAAAAGTAATTCAATATTATAAATACTATAAATAATTAAATACATATAAAATATATTTAAATAGACACATTTTAAGCAGTTTTCCATGATTATGTTGGTGTTGATTCGTCAGCGGAATTCAACATTTATATCATTTTCAATTAATCAATCATTCATTAGTATGTATACTGTATCGGATGGATTTCCACAGACATGTGACTTGCAAACGAGCTAAATAAATGCATGCCATCACCTTATACTTCTGTTTTAGATTCTCCCACTTCTTTCGAACCCATGCAGGCGTCACTTTCCCCGCCAGCTGGTTCTCCTTCACATACAGCCTGTAGATTGACAGATCAACAGCATCAAATAAACACGTGTACCTGACGAGGCATAACAGCACTCAGTGAAGTCAAGACTGAATTGACTCACTCGAAGGCTTTGATGGCTGCATTTCTCCTGCCTGTAAACAAACTGTTGTTACTGACTCTCCATACAATCAGATCTGCCGTGTTGGCATCAGTCCCTAAATGCACAGAGACGACTGGTAAACATATTTGCCTTTGACCACCACTTGAAAATGGAATAACTCACATACATTGACAAATTCGCGATATTGTTGAATCAGCATGCCGTTACTGTTGCAGAACTACGTTTTGGGAAGTGAGGAAGGTTAAAAAATAAATAAATAAAAATATCAGGATACTCATAAACCGATACATTTTGCTGTAAAACGTGTTACTTGCATTTAAAGACTCCATCCTCTGAGTCCATTTTAATTGTTTGTTTTGTTTTAGCATTGTGTTTTCTTCTCCTGTCCTTTTGCTCCTGTGGGTGAGAATGAATTACAACGTACTGGCGCCCCCTAGCGTAAACTACAACACGTTTGTTGTTTTCCGTTAAAAGTGGAATTCTCCCATGCAATGCTTGAAATGGGTAGGATTCGAAAATGATTTGAATTCTTTATGCTTTTCATTTTTACAGTAGGTGGTGGTGTAATGATTTAGTCGAGGATTTTGCCCAGCAGGGGCGCTGAGAACAAGGTAAATATATGGTGCTATTGTTAAATACATTAAAGAAATATGATTAATCAGGAGAATTTAGGAATGTGTGTTTTTTTATGTATATATATATATCTATA